TCTGTGCAGGAGTGACCTGCTGGGGGTGGCACAAACACCGAGCTGTTTTTACGTCTCTGCCCGGTACTGCTTTTTTGAGCCCCCTACAAATCCCTTGTGGGAAGTTGTGCGCTGCTGGAGCTGCATTGAATTGTTTATGTTAGTTATTATGGATTAAGAGTACAGTCGCAACCTCTTCCAGCTACTCTGTGTCTGTGGAGCAGCTTCTCGCTTTGGGAAGGCATCCGTGCCCACCTTTTCTCTTATTCTCAAGTGGGTCCTGAGAGCTTTCCAGCTATCCCTATTTTATGGGGATAAGTTTTGCTGTCAAGAGCAGCTCCTGGCACCAGGGGTAGGGCAGGAATTCGCCCGAGTGAGACACAGATGTCGAGACCCGGGGGTTATTCACGTCTTTTTCAAGTTTGTGAAGCTTTTATCCCTCGCTGGCTGAGGGGGAAGTGGGAAAGGCGAGTCCCCAGAGCTGGTCCCGGCTCCCTTTGAGGTGCCCGGCGGGCGCTGAGCCTCGCAGGTAGCGCTCCGCCAGGAAGCGCCCCAATTTACGCTATTCACAAGCCGCAGGGCACTGTTCTTGTTTCCAGGCTCCTAATCCCTCTCTCACACACAATCCCTTACAACTTTAACTGGCGGGGTGGAGGAGCGAATTAAAAAGGAAGGAAAAAGGAAAATGAAACACAATGTAGGGCCAGGCAGTGGCTGCCAGTTACGGCGCACACAATCGACACCAGCTGCAGCCCAATTAAACCCGACATTCACAGGTGTTCCCAGCACACTCGGCCCTAACAAAACCACTTTCTTGAAAATACCTAAGGCTTTAACACAGAATCTCTCTCTCTTTTTTTTTTTTTCTTTCTTTTTCTTTTTTTTTTTTTTTTTAAGGTTCTTTAAAGCTATTTAGAGCGCTTTAAATACAAAGAAGCTGAAAAGGACTTTGAATTCGCTGGAAAAAGTTGTTGCTTAATGCCAGAATGGGGGAGAATCAGCCCAGCTGAAGCAGCCAGTGTAACCATTGGTTTCGAGGGAAGATGGGTTGTGCTCAGTGCTGTTTATTCAGAGAAAAGTAACTTGCACCGGGCATTTTATTGTTGCTGGGAGTGGAATGGGGCAGGAGGGAACGACTAGGTGTAAATCCTTTTCTGCTGGGGGGCTCATCGTTGTTTGCAGCATAGCTCTGAGCTGGTGTGTGGCTCAGACAGCAAATTTTAATTCTCCTTTCCTGCCAGGAAAGCTTGACTCTGGTGCCTTTTTGACTTTGCCTTTTTGAAGCAGAATTCTAAATGAATTGTTTATTTTCTGATCTTAAAGCACTTTCTGAGATGATAAATCAGTCCTTTAAGAAAGCAATGTACTGGTTTTTATACATGAATTCAAAACTATTCCCATGCTAAGAGACGACTGCAGACAGCAGATGAATGCATTGGTTGGTAAAATGCTCTGACTCTATTGAAAATGAGAATTCTGTTTCATAAACTTCCTTTTCTAATTATATTAATAGTAACCAAACTAGGGGATATTCTGGTACTCTTAGGTTCAGCAGCTTTTTACCCCACCTGTCTGGCTCTTTACTGCTGCAGTAGCACCCATGTAGTTGCAGTAGTTACAGCTTAATTACCTGCTGCCTGGTGTGTTGCTATTTAATCACTGCTGTCTCTGACAATCACTTCCTTACTGCCTTAGAGGGGGTGCTGAAAGCAACTCTGCATTCAGATGCAGTCACAAAATACCTATTTTGTCCCTCCATACAGTGAGATGTATTTCCAAAAGACTGTGCTCTCATTTGTCTTTTTTTTGTGTGTACTGAAAAGGTAAAAATTAGGATCCCTTGTATTTTTGTCTGAAACTCATTAAGAATTGCCTTGCAGGTAGGTAGTGTTGGCTCTTAGCAGTCATTTATAGAGGTAGGTAGAGGCTGTTCATCCTACTAAATGCAGTGAAGAAAGAAGAATATTGCCCAAGCTACAACATCACAAATAATTTGGCCTAAATTAAATACTGTCACTTGGGAAAAGATGCTGGAGGCAGCGTGAATAATTTTCTGAGAAAAATCCTCTCAGCACAAATACAATGATAAGAAAGGAACTGCAGGCAGCCCAGGGACAGGGCTGTGGCCTGGTACAGCTCCCTCTGTGCCCTGCACAGCTTCAGGCACTCAGCAGGGAGAGCTCAGGGCAGAACTGGCCAAGGCAGTGATGGCAGATGGGAGGAAGAATGGACAGGTTGGGCAGGAGCAAAGTCTGAGTCACTGGGGACTCTTCAGCTTGTAAAGACTTGACTGAGAGAGGATGAGATAAAACTCTGTAAATTCATTGATGGTACAGGGAAGGTGAACAGAGAAGAGCAGATGAATCATCATTCTCATAACACAGGGAACAGGAGGACTTGCTGAAATTGCCAGGTTTAATACAAACAAAAGTGCTTTTATTATATGAGGCATGATTGGACCATGGCACTTGATACAGGGTGATCTTGTAGAGGCCTAAAGAAGAAGTGATTTAAGAAAGTCACAGGAGAAGTTCATTGGGACCTGTTGCAGGGTTTTGAAGCTGATGATGTGAATGCAGCTTCTGGGTTTGGAGTGCTGCTAAGCTTGGGAAATATCCACATCTTGCTGCAAAGGGTCTCTTTCCTCTGCTGTCAGTTACAGCCTCTTCTGTGGCCTTCCCTTTTTTCCTCAATCCACAGAAATGACATTTAAAAGCCCTGCTGTTCCTCCATCTGATAAGAAATGTCCTAACATGGCTGTGACAAGGAGTCTCCACGACAGACCAGTGACCTTATGACAATGAGGCCTAATTCACCAGATGAATTCACCCTCCTGTCACTGTGGCTGCATTACTACCTGTGCTTGCTTTCCACGAGTGAGTTAGCTTTACCAGCTAGTGAGAATGATTGTGAGGACTTTGTTTTTTAAAGTTTGCATACTTGAACAAAGAAAAATAATCAGACTTGCCTTGTTGAATCTCTTACCTCAGAAACCTGATCCCCTGGGTAAGCCAAGGAATGGAAACAACTCCGTGTGACTCTGTGACCAGACACAAAATTTTCAACACTGTGCTGTAATGCCTGCTGTTTATTACTCAACAATATAGGAAAGATTCAGTCCACAAAAATTCTGAGTGTAGCCAGAAAAAGGTAGAACAATAATTTCTGCCATAGAAGTCTTTCCTTGTCCCTTAAAAGTAGCTGAAATGCTTTTAAGAAGCCAAAAATAATCAGTTTTCTGGTGCTTCCTCATGTCTAGGGTTTTTTATTTATCACAGAATTTATGGTTCAGTGTTTAAGAGTAAAATTTTTTTAAAAAACTCCTTTGGAGGTTAGTTATCATCACTGTTACTGATAGTGTTGGCAGAGTATAGAGAGCAGATGAAAGCACCATCAGGACTATCAGCCTATGGGTGGATTTCTCCTGAGTGTATCGGTGTACAAATGAAACGGGAAGAAATAGGATTGGCAGAGGTGTTCCTTTGGTTTTGGATGTGACAATTTGACAGTGTCTCCTTCAGCTTCTCCTTCACTAAAACAGCTGCTGACAAGAGGACACCTTGGCAGTGACAGCGTTTCATGCTGTGGGTGGGTGATGGTCTCCACGAGAAGAACGGGGCAGTCAAAACTTGCTGTGACTGCATTTGGGGATTGTTTTAATAATGCCTGTGAAAACTTGCAGGGAGTCTCTTCATTTTGTGGCCTTACTGCAGTATTTATCAAGGGGAAATGAACCTGTCCTTCAAAGGCCAGCACAGTTCAGAGTCCGGAACGCTCGGGATCTGTTTTTCCATCACCAGTCTTCTCCCTTGTGAGAGAATTCTGGGTTTAGTGATAGGCAGGGAATGCAAGGGTTGTTTGATCTGGTGCAGGTTTTTGTCTTTAAGTAGCTTAATATTCCTGTTTGAGATGGGGACACAGTCACAATGTCTGCTTAGAGCAAAACCTGCACAGAAAGAGCAGGGGGCCTCTCTGTTAACTTTCTGGGTGATGTATTGCTGATCTCTACGAGAAGCTGGTGCACTAAATCTCAGCTGCACTTCCACGTTCAGCTGTCTCTGAAGTCCTGAAAAGCATTAAAATGCGTAACAGCAGTGTTTAGCTTTGGTGCTCATTAGAGCAGCACAGAACTAATAGTAATATTGTTGTAACTTGACAAAGCCATCTAAATCCATGCATGTTTTCTTGTGAAAGCTTCCTAAACATGCTGCTAAATCCCCTAAAAAGCTACTAAACGGCTTTGGCAACCATTAGCAGAGCATAAGCGGGGGGAACTCCTTTCAGTAAGTGAACAAACAGAGAAAATATGCTGAATAGCCGGACAAATGCGTTTCAGTTGGCTCTTTCATTTACAGATATAAGGGAGCAGTCAATATCAATCACTGTTTTCCCTGTTGCACTGGAAATCACAATATCTCTTTTCATTCCACAAGCTCCTTTCACCGCAGTAATGTGTCTTTAGAGTGACACTGGCATCAGTCTGTTTCCGCTGTCTGAAGTCCAGAGAGCTTAAAAACACATTGCAGGGTATGAGACCTTAACCCTCCTCCCCTTCCACACACCCCTCTCCTCCGAGCCTCCTTTTGGAATTAATTGTTTTTATTTCTTTCCCAGTGCAAGGCTGGGAAAGAAAAGTGCCTGCAGAGCCTGGGAATATCTGCTCTTGCACTTCGGGGATGGAAAAATGTATTGCTGGTGGTTGGGGTTTGAATTTATCAGGTGTTATGGGGAGTTTAACACAAGGTAATATGATTAGTGAGTTAATTTGCAGCATGCTGTAATGTGAAATGTAATGTAACTGTGGTTTGAGTTTCGACCTACATCCTGTTTTTTGGATGTCCTAATCGCCCACAAACTCATATATTTAAAAAAGTTGGGAAAACTCTACTTATGATTATTTGGCATTTGGAGTGGTTTGATGTTCTTGTGTTCTCCTTCTTCAAGTAATGTAAATAACAATAATAATAATAATAATAATAATAATAATAATAATGTGGGGGTTTTTTGTTATTTCTTTGCAGATAACAGCAGTCTGCAGGGAAGCAGCCCTCCTAGCTCTTCAGGAAGACATCCATGCCAAATCTATCACGGGCCGGCACTTCCGGAGCGCACTGACGGTCGTGAGCCCGAGGATTCCTGACTCGTTAATCCAGTTTTATGCAGATTACCAGCAGCAAAGTGGACTGCACGCGCTCTGAAAGGCAAATTAATACATACCCCATTCACTGTGTGAATGGCAGATTTCCTTTGTGAAGCTGTCAGAAGCCAAAGAGTTTTGTACTGTGAGCGAGTGGAGTGTCTGGAGTTAACTGAATGCAGAATTGCCGCAATAAAAGTCCCTGTGGAAGTTGTGAGTGTCATAGACATTGTCCTCAAATTTAGATTTTACCATTTCAGTGGTATAACCTGCCTTTTAGAGGAGGTAGTCTGGTTTAAGATATTTCCAGTTTAAGTCAGTTTATCTCAGTTGTATATCCATGTATCCAAAAAAAAAAAAAAAATATCAAATTCTGAATTTTGGTGGATTCTTGGCCCTTAAGAGAGAAGCAACAAATGCTATTACTGCCTTCATTTGTTCCTGCCTCAACCACAGTTTAATCCCAGGGACCATCCCAGTGAATGGCCTCATTACAAAAAATGCTTAAAATTACTGTGAATTTTTTGATTTATGATCTCCAGCAAAGCTGCTGAACAGGCTTTCTGAGATAAAGCTGAGGCATCCTGATTGCTTACAGCCAAACATTTATCTTTGGTCTTTACCAACTCACTTTTAGACATGTTGGCAGGTAGGCACCTTAAAAAACTGTCCAGCCCTTCGCTAACCTGAAGCCATTGCCAGGTGTCAGCAAAAGATTCTTGTTGTTCATGTTTGTTTCCATCAAAATAAATGGGAATGTTGATAAAATATGTAATTTAAAGCTGTCCACTGAAAATCTGTAATGAACCCAAATTAATGGATGAGAAAACTTTCTTGCAAAAACTGTTATAAATGACCACGAAATACTTCAGAGACAGATAAAATCTCCTCAAGTTGTTTCTTTGTTATATCGTCTGTTGAAACGATGACAAGTCCTTGTGGGCTCTCTGCTGTTGCACTCAGGATGAAATGCAGTTAAGCAAACTAATATTCAGCTTTTTTCCCCACAAGAGAAAGGCTGAGCTTTTCTAGTCCAGACATAAAAAGTTGAGGAAAAGGTAAACCAAAGCCAACACAAATTTCAACAGAAAGGTAATTTCTTCACCTAGATTATGGTTTTGCTCTCTTTACTTCCACACTGTACACATTTCATAGCTTTTAAACAGAAATCTGCTATTTTTAAATGACAGCTTTTTTTATTACTCTCGTTCTAACCCACTGTTGCTGTAATTAGCATTTCATTTTACTATTGCTGTGAAGAATTATAGAATGAGGAAAAGGGGGTCCTTTACTTAGTTCAGCTGATGTGTATGAGTTTATTTTTCTTTTTTTCATTGTTTTACTCTACTTTTACATAGTCAAACAGACAGAGGGAATTAAGAAAATTATAAACTGGAAAACTTGCCTTGGGGATCAAGACTGCATCTGAAACTACTTTATCCTTCTTTTCTAAATTCTACATACTCCAGCTTGGAGCTCAGGATGTGAACCATTCATCATAACCATTAAATTTTGAGGTTTCCAGAAATTAAATGCCATACCTTTATCCCCTAGCACTTCACTCCAGTGTCTGTTCCTGAAGGGAGGAGAGACTGCAGTTCTCACTGCCAATAATGAATTCTGTTTGTGATTTTGTAGCCTAAAAATAACACTGTGTGGTGCTCCAGATGAGTGTTAAAACTAGATGGCCATTCCTTGGGAAGTGCTCAGGTTTATTGGGAACATGCACCAAGGAGTGAATGTGAACTGAGAAACTACAAGAGGGGCAGGTGGGAGCTGGCTGCTCTGTCCCTTTGTGGAATCCTGCTGCCATCAGAGGGAAATTCTGCACATCAAATTTGAGGACATTAGGAGGGAATGCTGGCCCATGTCTGCTGTTTGTGCCTTGGAAAAAATCCCATCCCTGCAAACATTTATCCTTTTACCTGTATGGTGCCATGTGGGCACCAAATCTTTTGATACACACCCATATATGTCTGAAGTGGTTTTAAATGTAGGAAGCTCCCCTTTTTATCCTTGGGTTTGTGGAATTTGATTTTTTTAAAAAGTAAGATGTTCTTAAAAAAAAAAAAATAAGCAATGACAAATTTGTGAAGTCCCCAGGAGGTGTCTGTTGCTCCCAAAATATTCTGTTTGAATTTTTTGGGATTTTTTTTGGAATTTGCCAGTCTGATGCCAGTCAGGATCTTACTCCATCCCAAGCCACTCTTACACTGAGATTTAAAAGAAGCTATGATGATTCCCTGTATCTGTCCTAAAGACAGATCACTGCTGCAGTGGATGAGCAAATTGAAACCCGGGTATCAGAATTCTGGAAAATGACCAAAAATTTGGTTTTGATTAAAACACAGTGTAGCCCTTTCATGATCCAGCCTGGTGAGAGCTGTTGCACCCTGAGCCTCTTGTTGGAACTTACTGATGAGGGCACTGTAGGACAGAGCACTCCAGGAGCATCTCCTGTCATTTACAGGAGCGAGTTTTGATTCAGAGCTGACTCCTGAAAACGTGTTTTGCTGAACACCTCGTGTCTTGGCACCCACTCAGATCTCTTGCAGTGTGAGCCCATAAAAGCCTGAATACCTCTGTGCTGCAGAGCAACTCAAAGATAGAGGCACTCTCTCTTCTGCTGGGTTTTGTTGTTGTGTTTCCACGAGATTTAATTTTAATAAAAGGATTGAGGATCAGTGAATCACAGCAGAGAAGGCAGCTGAGAAGAACATCTCTGTCCCATCTTCTCTTTAACTGCCTAGACTTCCTAGGCTTACTTCTTTAAGTTTTTTAGAAACACAGTCTTTTTCCTGCCTGCTGTTATCTTTTGGAGCTGGTTTTTGGCCCAAATACTGCTTGAGTCGCAGAATTGTTAACATTAAATCAACTTTTCAATGTTTCAGGCACACTTTGTTTAAATAAAAAAATCTACCTTTTTCCTCCAATAACAACCTCTTGCAAAATGGCATAAAATGTCTTTTGACAGTTTGGCCAGAAATGACCAGGAGAATATTTATGATCAAAATGCAAAATTGTCTTCACTTAACTTGAAAAAATGTTCACTCCTGTGTTCTACCTAATGCATAAAACAGATTTTCACTGCAAGTATGATATACAATTCTTAATCCTAGAAGAAAGAATGAGGTTTATTGTGGATAGTTTTCCTGCAGCCTCTAAATGAGAGTGGAACATAAGTTTTACCAAGCTCAGGTGGCAAGGGCAAACATCAGAGACAGAATAAAGACCATTTATTTCAAAGTTGGTTATTCAAAATCATTGAATTTAGACTTGTCAGCCCTTTTAAATATTATGTCTTTAAAGCTGATTTTTGTGGGCTCTGTATCCTGGCTCTTTCAGCTACTTTACTCATTTTGAATGCCAAAGTGTGGTGATTCCCCTCTGGAAGCTGGATACATGCCAAACAATGCTCCAGGAACTGAGCAGCCATGGAAGGCTGGAAGTGATGTTTCCAGGTGAAGCAGGAGTCTGATTCAGCTGATGGGGTGTGGAGAGGGGAAAAGTGGAAACCAGATGTGGTGTTTTGTCCTGAGGATGAAGTTCAGTGATGGACACAGGTTGGTGGGCAGGAGAACTGTCTCTGCTTATTGCAGTCAGGGCTGTGAGGAGCCTGACCCTGAAAGGTTGTTTCTGGCTCTGCCACACAAAGCAGCTGATGTATGGGTAAAACAGAACTGCCATCTCTAGAAATGCTACTGTCCAGGGCTTGTGGTATCCTAGTATGTAGTGCTGGAATTTGGGAGGGAGTTGACCTTGAAGAAGAATCACCCACTGAAGGCGTCATAACCTTGGTGAAAGGCCCTAAAAGAATGAGTGAAAAGAGGCACAAGGAACTTGCCTTGCTTCCTGTGATCCCAAAGCTGGGATAAAACCAGCTGTGCTTCCACTCACGCTCCTGAGCCTTGGGATTACTCCTGTGCTGATGCAGTCTGGGACATAGGAGGCGGTTTGCAGTGGGAGCAGAGTTACATTTGGAAAATCAGTTTTACATTGGGACCTATTTGTATTTGTATTTAATATTGTTGCTACGGTTGTAGTGAATTTTTATCTCCTAGGAACCCCAAAAGCTTTTGCTGATGGTTTTTTATGTTTGACATAGATGACAACACCACAGGTGATATTAATGTGCGCAGTTTGATAAAGAGCTTTTATGAGGTAGTAGGTGCAAGAAGCAGAATTGCTGTTGTTGCTGTACAATGTTTTCCCCATTTGGCAGGTCAGCAACATCTGGAAGAGAAATATTTCAGTTGAAACCTCCTCCTGATCTCGGGGTTTGTGTCAGCTCCTTCTGGAAGTGCTACCTGTTCATTTATTCACCTCCTCTGCTGGAAACTTAACTGCGCGTTTTCACCAGGGCTTTATGTGTGCTGTGTTAAACATTTTAAATGGTGTCATTCTTCCATGCAGACTTAAATCCAACAGCTCCAGAGCCCTGACAGAGAAGGAGATGTGTGTTTTCTCTGTTAACTGACCTGCCAAGGACAGGAGGGATGAGGGGGGAGAGAGCCCCTCTCTGTGTTTGCGTGGCAGGACTCCAGCGAGAGTGCAGGTGTTGTGAGAGGAGGCAATGGCAACCAGATGACATTTCTTCCCCTTGGACTAGCGTGGAGCCATTGCTCAAACTGATTGTGGGTCCAGCACTTGGACTGGATCATCTTAATGGTTCATTTCCAACCTAAATGATTCTGTGATACCCTTCCAAGAAAATTGGAGGCTAGCGTGTTGTCTGCGTGTGCCTGTGTGAAATCCATGACATTAAAGCTTAGGTTCCTCTAACTAGATTAGGGAGGTGGAATCACTCTTGGCAACTACTGGGAAGAGACTAGAAGATAGTCCAGACAGTGATTTATCCCAGCTGAGAGGTGAACTACCTTTCTGGAGGTGCTGATGGGGCAGCTGGTGTCAGGAGAGGCCCTCAACACTTATCTAGAGAAAGTGCCTTGAGGTAGAGAGAAGGAATTAAGAGCAGCAACCCTCAATATATTGAGAAAAAATATTTTATTAACTTGTGGAAATATATCCTGTTTACCTAAATGGTTCTGGAAATGCTGCTGATCTCTTCCTCTCATACCTGTGTGTGTGTGGCATTAACCACGCACCCCAGGGATTTTTTTATCTCTTTTGCTAACACTGAGGAGTTTTCACATCCCTGTTTGGTAAAATGGCTCTGCCATCAGCCAAGTGTGGAAAGGGCTTTGATAATGTTCAAGGTGAAACACTTGTCAGCTCTCACTTTATCCAGGAACGGATTATCTGGGCTGTGGAATAATGAGGTCATGTCTTTGCTCCACACCGCTGGCAAGAGCTTCGGATTTCACACAGGGGCAGCTGCTTACACCAAGCCTGCTCTACTTAATGCCTTTAAAGCTACCCTGCTTCCCTGTCAGCGAGTTCTCCCCAAGCTGAGGGTGTGAAACGTGCTCACACAGCCTCCTTTGCAGTGCCTCTGAGGGGCTTCCTGGTGCTTGGATTGCTGTCCTATCCCAGAGTTGGGTGGGTGGGATGTGGGAGCACAGGATGTGAGAAGCAGTGTGACCTGTGCGTGGCTACTGCACCTAAAATACAGGAATGTGTGGAGCAGGATTTGTGGGTGGGTGGACCAGAGCCATGCAGCTCTTTCCAGGTGTCCCACCAGCAGCTTGCAGTCTGAATCTGCAGCTTTAATGCAGAGCTGTGGCAGTGAGAGTGGCCATGGACATGAAAGATCCCTAA